AACCATTCTATGATTCTATGATAACTGAGTCAAAGCAAAATAAACTTGAAATCCCTCAAGTGAATCCAGTGTTCAGGCGCACAAAATGACCATGCAGTGATTTCAAGTGGAGAAAATGTTTTAATTCTCCCCAATCCAGGTAACAGTGTAGGCTCTGTGCTATATTAGAAGAGGATGGATTTAATTTTATGTGTCATTTGAGTCCCATGGCTTAAACCTGATAATTTAAATCTGAAGAGGCTTTTTGAAGTGGTAGACTAAATCAGAAGTCTTCAACACAAGACCCTGAACCTGAGGACAGCTGGTTCAGCTCCCTGTCAGGACAGTTGTACCTGAAATGAGGGTTTTGTGAGATGTAATGGATAATGCATGTGAAGCCAGGTGAGGATCTTGGTCCTGCCTCTACAGAGCAGATGTCCTCAGGTCCACAGAAACCCCTTCTCCATCTCCAGCGGGCAGTGGCAGAGATGGAGACTCTAAGGCTGGGGTCTGACACTTGGTCAGGTTTTGTGGTCCACTTCTCTTAGTGGATCTCCCTCCTTGGGAAAGCGTTCTATGCTTACAGTCCCTGTAGATACTGACTCATGGCATCCCCTTCAACACCTTCCTGAAAGCATCTCCACCCATGCCTGAAATACAACTGTCCTGGGAAAGATATCTTATTGTAGGAAGATTCCCCGAAATATTCACGGAGTCCTCATGGAGGTAAGAGTGAACTTTTCGTAAAGTGACCTTTATTAGCTTAAAACAACACACTTTTATAGGGTTCTACAGGGTTCATGTGGTACAAACAAAACTACTATTGGCTTAATTAACTAAATATCACACATGTTGCCTTATAATTGGTTATAGATGAATTTACTTCCGCCTTCATGCCAGCCTCAGTCTCTCCTTACTTCCGATTCCACGTGGCACTTCCTCCCCACCCCCGTGGCCAGCCAATCCTGTTGAACATCCTCCCTTCTGTTTACGACCTTGCTGTTGTTTCTCATTCTTATCCTTTAAGGAGACTTCAAGGGCACTGCCTTCAGGGATACGGGCTGGGTTGTGCAAGCAGACCTTAAGTAAAACATCATGCCCTCGCTCTGCCAAGATATTCTCTACATCTTATGGTGTGATGCATGTAAAGTGAGCAAAGCTATCTCCTGAACTTCTTGTACTGAAAGATCAATGTTGGTTCTCTGAACTTTTCATGCACACAGCATCAGCACAGATTTCCAGCTTCTAGTTGAAAACTATGCAAACTGCTGGAGATGACCGTGGCCAGAAGGATGGTCAGTAATCCAGATCACAGCTGGGAGACCAATCTATTGTAACTACAAGGGAATGAGAAGTGCTGTGGCATAATTAATAATTGCAATGGACCATGATACTAAGCCTCATTTGGAAGTTGCACACTTAAAGCCCCTAGTTGGGGGCTCTAGTTTTTATCTAACTCATCCAGGTACTGACCAGTCTAGTACTGAATCTGGGCAAAACAGAGTTTGTCTTTTAGAAAATAATGAAAACCAGCTTTATGACCACACTTAAATTTTTCCTCTCCTTGAAAGCAGCTGTGTTGTTTTGAGGGGTCAGTGCTGCCCCTGAAACCTACCAGATGGATTTCCAGAGCTGGCTTACCTTCCCAATAGGAGTATTGCTGTGCTGTGCTCTTCAGACATCTGCCCTTCAACGACCTGCATCTCACAACTGCACCAGCAATGGTCAAAGAATATCCTTCAGCCACTCCTACAAGATTGACCTGCCCACGTCCTCCCAGATCAAGGTGGAGGCAGATCCATTACAGCACAAAGACAACGGTGAGGTGCAGCTAGATCCTGGGGAGGCTGAGGAAAATGAAGAGCAGAATATCATCTTTAGGCACAACATCCATGTGCGTACACCCAAAGGGGACTGTGAAACTTTCACCCACATTAAGGGTCTGCTTGAAAGGATGGAGAAGCTTGAGAAAGAAGTGGCAGAGCTGAGAGAAGTTTGCAGCCCTCGGAAGTGCTGTGGGGGAAGCCAAGGTAAGTAATAATTGCAGTATCTGTTCTTACATCCCACATGCAGCCTATTTGCTGCGGAGATTTGGGGACTGAAATCCATTTGTCAAGGTTATGGGGGTTCTCTGTGAGTGAGATGCTCAAGTCCTACAGATGGGATGGTGCTCTGGTCTCTGTGATGTGAGAGGAAATCTGAAAGTCACAAAATGTGGTAGTACATAGTGTTTCTGGAACCAGCAGAGGGGAAATCTTCCCAGACATCTCCCAGAAGTGGAAGGGAAAACAGTTCCTGAGTTTCACATAGGTGAGAGGATTCAATGGAATAATTTCTAGGGAGGGGAGGGTGGAAGATGAGGGAGGCACTTCTTGTTGCTGTTTTTTCCTTTCTTACTTTTCCCTCCAGAGTTCTGCAGTTCCTGAGAATTTGTCTTTTTATTTCTTGGAATCACAGAATGGTTTGGGTTGGAAGGGACCTTAAAGCTCACCCAGTTCCAACCCCCCTGCCAGCAGCAGGGACACCTTCCACTAGACCAGGCTGCTCAAAGCCTCATCCAACCTGGCCTTCAACACTTCCAGGGAGGAGCAGCCACAGCTTCTCTGGCCAACCTGGGACACTGTCTCACCACCCTCACAGTGAAGAATTTCTTCCTAATATCTCATCTAAACCTCCCCTCTTCCAGTTTAAAGCCATTTTCTGCCTTGATAACTGACTAAAGAGAAGATTTTTTGATGATGATGATTTGTGGTGGCCAATGGCTCTGCCTGTGATCAATGTTTTATACTGCATGGCCTCTAAGAAAAGATTTAACAAACTGATGTTTGGGGAATGGAGACAGGGAGAAGTGCTAAGTCTTTGCTTACATGAACAATACAGATGTATACCCGATGAGAATAACGTACACTCCATCTTTATGATAACTGGTGAGAAATAGTGAGCTTAAATGACAACCAGGAAGATTCAGGTTAGAGGTTGTGAAAAGCTTTTTAATTGACTGGAGAGGTTGTGGAATTCCTGCACGCTAGGGACAAACGTGAATAGGGAAAGGCAAGGGTGGAGCTGGTCCCCCCTGGGGCCAGGGAGCAGATGGACAGGGTGATGTCTTCAGGTCTTTTTCAGCCCATATTTTCCAGTGATAGTTATGTTTTCCCTTTAATGACCTTGAACACGCCTTTGCACTATCTATCTATTATTATGTTTCTAATTTTGTTTTTGTTTTTTCCCCTCCTTCTGATCTGTGTCACACTTGCTGTTGTCCATCCTGGTGCTGCTCTGGCCAGGTGTCTCACATTGCAGTGGCCACGGGACATTCCTCCCTGAGACTTGCAGCTGTAAGTGTGCCGAGGGCTGGGAGGGCCATGACTGCTCCCGTCCCACCTGCCCTAGCCACTGCAGCGGCCGTGGGCGCTGTGATGGTGGGAAGTGTAGCTGTGAGGAGCCTTACTTTGGTGAGGACTGCAGGCAGCGCTTCTGTCCTGAGAACTGCAGTGGCAACGGGATCTGTGACACAGCCACAGGGGTCTGCCAGTGCTATGAGGAGTTCATCGGAGAGGACTGCAACGAGAAACGAGGACTGCAACGAGAAACGATGCCCTGGGGACTGCAGTGGCAATGGGTTCTGTGACACGGGAGGAGTGCTACTGCCACGATGGCTTCTTTGGCCTTGACTGCTCCCAAGGTAGGACATGCCTGTGAGTTGTTTTTCCCTTTCTTTTTTTCTTTCATTCTGAGTTTCCCTCTCTGCCTCCCATAAACATTTGGTTAATCCTGTAGATAAGCCAAGCCTGGAGTCACCATGTTCCTCTTGGAGTTCCTGCTTGGCTAGGGGTTGCTGGCAGGTCCTTGTCTTCAAGAACTGGAGAACATTTCTGAACTGGGGAAAGGTGGAAATGCAGTTAAGGGTAGTGCTAGCACAAGCCTGTGTGTAGCAGCTGAAGGAGAGAGCAAAACTGGGTATGGAGCCTGTAATTAAAGAGGGAGCCAGAGCCTGTTTCTTGACATACAAATGAGACAATAGAAGGTAAAATCACCTTTGTTGCAGTGTGAGCTGCTTTCGAGAAGGTAGTTGATTTGATAAAGCCTGTGAGACAAAGGATGTATAAATCCTTTAAATAACCTCCCTTTGAAGTGAGGTCTTTGGGAAATTCTACTTTGTTACAAGGCAGTAGGATTTGCCTGAGGAGACCTGGCTGAGCTGACCTTGAGGTGTGTGTCCAGCAATTTCTGCTTAATTCTGAAAAACCTACAATCTCCCTATAACCGCAGGTCGATACTCCAGGCTTCAGCACTCAGCCTTTTACCCTGGAAGCTGCCTTTCCTTCTCAGCATGTCACTGCTTGCTCTAATCTTTCACAGCTCCTCAGGAAGGAGAAGTAGGTAACAGCCACACGCTGAGCAGTAGGTATCGCTCAGCAGGGCTCTGCAGTGACCTTACTGGCAGGTCTTTTCTCCTCCAGATCATCCCTCACCTCTCAGGCTTGACCCATCTGCTTAGAGACTCATCTTTTATTTAAAAGATTATTAGCTCATATTTTTCATCCAGACAAGAGCTCTGCATCAAACCATCACTCCTCCCACCCCTTCCACACTATTCAGAGATGTTTCTCTGTGGCTCCAGCACTCTTCTCTCCTGTCAGTAGACCGGGACTTGCTGCTCAGGAGGCAGCACCTTTACAGAGGTGGTAAGCAGAGTTGTTTTTCCCAGAGCAGAGACAGTTGTCTCAGAGAACTCTTACCCAGCCAGCCTCAAAGGGCTGTCTGGGTCCAGCCTTGGATCCTCTTCCTTACACAACACCCGCAGGTGTTTTACAGAGTGTGAAGTGGCCTCTGCTCTCTGAGTATCTGAGTGAGCAAGCACTGCAGAGTTCATGCATATTGCATAATCCATTTTGCTACTTTTTCTGAGCACTACACCTCCACTCCTGCTTAAAAACTGTTTTAAGTCCAAAGGCAAATGCCATCTCAGTATCAGTAGCCGAGCACTCCTCTCCCATAGATGTCAAATTGCCTTTTTTATTCCAATTTGGGTTAGATTTCTGCATCCTGGGAGATTTACACTGAGCACCATTTTTATTTATTTATTTATTATTATTCCTATGTTTTTATGTGTCTCAGATCACGAAATTACTTTTTTTATATATTACCATGGTAACTGGAATGTTTAAACATCTAGAAGTTATTATCAAGCATGCAAAAGTCTAATTAATGTCTTACAATTCCTTGTGAAGGAGAACTAGAGGACGAGGACACACTGAACAGCAGGTATTAGCCTTTGTTCTTTCTGGACTTTGTTTACTGGCACTCCAAAATAGCACTCTGGGATATCTGAAGATGAATAAACTGGCAGTTTAAAAACACTTGTTTGGTATCTCTGCACAATATTAGTTTAAACAGGAAGTCTGTGTATTGATGCTGTAATAAGGAAATTGGAAAGGAAAATAAAGAGGGGCTCTGCTGTTCCCAGGGGAGCCAGGGTTCCCAGCCAGCTCCTCTGTGAGCTCTCAGCCCAGCGCTGGATCTCTAAATGTGCGGCTCGTTTCCTGCTTGCTTTGGCCATTAGGGTCTCAGTCTGATTCTGGAGGAGAAGCTGCTGGATGGAGATTGACTCTTGCATGGCCCACAACCACACGTCCTCCTAATTCACCTCAGCAGTCGGTGCTGTGCCTGTGATGAACCCTTTCATAGAATCATTTTGGTTGGAAAAGGCCTTAAGATCATTGAGTCCATCCATAACCCTCACACTTTGCTTCAGGCTAGGAGGTTCTCTGCTGTTGGAGAGCAAGAGGAGGAGGTTTTCAAGGGTTGCCAAGTCCAGGCTGCACCTCCATCCCTTTCACACCTTCACAGGGCCACTTCCCCCAGCTCTGACCAGGCGTGACTTTGTCAAGTCCTGAAGTGCTTGGGTTTGTCATGTTGGCTGGAGAAGATGGCTCTGGTGCATCTCAGGGCAGACCAAAAACCACATTGCAAAAATAGATCCCCCTGGGCTGGGCTAGAGAGTCACTGCCCTTGTGAGAACCCCTCATTGGAGCATCGTCCTGCTCCGAAACACAAACTGTCCTGGGCACTGTCCTAAACAGGTGATACTGGTTTCTTCTGCCACATCTCTCCTCTTCAGAGAGGCAGATACAATCCTCTTCTGAACTATGCTTAGACCAGGGATGCACCATACCATATGTATTTAGGTTCTTTATTGTTTTATTGCAAAGTAATTCTGTATCACAGGGAGAGGCAGGATGAACGTCCTCACACTTTGTACAAAGTTTTAATCAAAAGCCATGGAAGGCATATATTGAGGGGGGAATTTGGTGAGAGCTGTGAATTGTGGCAGGGAATGAATGCTGCCTTTCACGTGAGAAGAATCTCAAGATGTTATCTGACCTAATGTTGCTGACACTTGCCTTTTTACAGGCACTTGCTATCCATGTTTTGCTATTGGTTAGAGCCTTGCTAATGAAATACAGCTGGTAGAGAGTTTGATCAATTTATGATATGCTTACTTGTAATTAAAAATCAGGTAAACTTTCTGACAGATGTTCTACATGACTGCTTTCAAGGGCTTCTTCAAGACACTGACAAGCTGTCTGTCTTGTAGCAAAAAGGTTAAGGCACTGATGGTATCCTGAAATTTATTGTGTGTCACAGATTTGCCCAGGTCTTCGCCAGTCACCAAGTGGAAGTTTCCATCAGTATAAAAGCTCAGTTTTCTACCTCTGCCATGGAGAAGCTGTGTTCCCCAGTTCTGGGGACCAGTTGACATTTTGAAATAACTCTGACAGTGGTATGAAAAGGAGGTTTTTGGCTTTTCTTTCTTTTCCTAGAGGCACTGGAAGGGACAGCTTTACAAGACTGTTTTCCTCATGCCAGTGTGGGTTTAGAAGCTGGAAAGAAGAGTCTAGGAAATTATTGTATTTGTTACTGACTGCAATATGCTTTTGTATTTAATGGGCAGAAAGAAATGGACAAACCCAAGATGATCACAGACTGGGAGTTCCAGTTCTGTGTTCTCTCTGTATTCAAAATAGGTTTGAAACAATTTCTTGCTTGACCCTGTGAGCCCTGGATGAGATGCTCAGACATCATTCTCACTGCAGTGTTTTTCTTTGTTTCCTTTCCAGTGCTCGCTCCTCAGAACCTGCAGCTGCTGAACTCCACAGAGAACTCTCTGGCTGTCAGCTGGGATCAAATGATTGATGTGGATAATTACCTCATTAGCTATTATCCAGTAGGGTATGAGACATGGCTGAAACAAGTCCACGTGCCCAAAGAGCAGCTCAGCTATGAGACTGTGGGTCTCCACCCCAGCACCACATATAATGTCACACTTTGTCATGTGAAGAAGGGGATTGCCAGTGAGCCCGAGTATCTAGAAGCAACTACAGGTAGGAGCAGGCAGTCTTTTTCTTCAGAGGCAGGAGCTGTTTGAATCTAGCTTTAAAGATCTACAAGTGGAACAAATTGTTTGGCTTTGCAGGTTTATAACATCCTGAGTGATGAAGAGCACTTTCTCCTCCCAGTCTCAGCTGCATTTTTTTGCCATCTTTCTCTGCTGGAGAATCAGTTTCCAGATACGTATCGTTGGAGCTGAATGCACTGCAAATTTCCTATCTCTCCCTTTATCTTGTCCAAATCCTACTTCTATTGACAGCCCTGAATTCCAGGGAATCTGTAACATTGCCTACTGCAAGAAGCAGCAACAGCAGCACACAAGATAAGACCAGCATGTTATTAGGAATAATGCACTGTTTGACTAGATGCAGAGGGGACATTAAAGTAGACAGAATGTCATTCCTAGGTACTAATTTGCCAAACACACCTGCAGGAGTGACTTTTCCTCATAGTCTCTTCCCTGGACTGCATGAGCCTGATGCTGCTGAGGTTAGGAGGCTGAGTATGGAAAGACTGCGTATTTGACACATTCTGTCTCTCTAGAACTGAAATGTCATTTTGTTAGCAGCTGGTAGTTTGCTGTGTGTGCCTGTACTTGGCAAAAACAGTGAAAAGTTGGGTTCTTTTGACATTTTTCTTACTCCTATCACAACAGGTAGGAGCTGAGAGCCAGAAAACTCTTGAGTTGGAGGGTTACCATGGATAAAACTAAGCCTGTTGAGATAATGATTGTGCTGTACTTGCTTTAACTCTTCAGTTTGGCTCAGGAAAACATCTCAGGTTTTAGAGCAGGCGACTGGGGAGGGAAGGGGGCTGTTTATCAACTTCTTATCTCATATTCACCTTTTGGTGCTGATCCTACTTCTTCACGGCCCTCTGCTGTCCTTACCAGTCCTGTCTGTGCTCAATGCCATCTGGGTGACAGAAGAGATGGAGCACTCCCTGGAAGTGGAGTGGGAGAACCCACCAACAGATGTGGATTATTATAAGCTGAAGTTCAGATCCCTGGTGGAGATGGATGAGAAACAGGTCACGGTGCCCAAAAGCAATAACCCCGAGAGCAGACACATTGTGACTGGTGAGTACCTGCGGGTGTTCCACAGTGGGCAGGGAGAAGTTGCGAGGGTGATTGATTGCCAGACTGTGGTCCTGAGATGATTTTTGTGTGTGGATGAGCAGTTGTCCTTTACCTTGTGCCTGCTGTAGGCCAGGGTGAGTTCTATTGGGGTTCCCCTATCCCATAACAATGGATGTCTCCACAGGGATAAAGCTTCTAAGTCCTGTGGATAGCAAGTGTCAAGGCATATTCATTCTGCTTTAATCCTGTCCTTGTTAGGGGTAAAGTATATTCTTCTGTTTCAGAGCTGATAACACTGATGTTATGAAAGTCTCCATCTAAACTTTAAGTTTCTCTCTGCTACAAACCTAGACCTGGACAGACTTAGCAAAATAGCTTTTTTTTTAAAAAAAAATAATAAATTCCTGTCTTCCCTAATTGTTGATAATGCTTTCTTTTGCTCTTTGTAGGCCTGAAACCTGGCACAGAGTATGAGATCACTGTCATACCGATGAAAGACAATACAGAGGGGATACCATCCTCAGTGAGTGGCAGGACTGGTAGGTGGGAAGTTTCTTTTATGATGGTGGTATTGCTACAGGGTTGGAGGACGGATCTGTCAAGATTGCAGCACAGAAGGTGCACAGTTGGCTGCTTCTTCATGCATGACCTGCAGCCATATCTGCTTATATCTTGTTTAAGCTTGTCTACATTGTATGTTAAACACTAAATCTAGCCCTAGCTTAGGCTTTTGCCTTGCTTTTAAACCTAAAGTAACTTCACCTTTAACTTGATTAATAGTAAGCATAGTAAGCTGCCCTCTGTATGCAGTAACAACCCTCAAATGAACCTGGGTCCAGCAGAAACTCAAAGTTTTTGGTTCATGACTTTCCTGACTAGATCATTGACAGAATGACCTTGCTTAAACCTAGCACACATGATTTGAGGTCTGGATATAGCCCTTCCTTGTGGATCTTCTGAGCAGCTGCTGCCGATTTATCTGGTCTCTGAGCCTAGGAATAATAAGGAAGAGGATAAATTCTTCTTTATTCCTATATTGCCTGGCTCCAGCATTATTTTTTTTGTTCATCAGCTGAACAGCACAATTGGACTGAGGAGGAGATTGGCACACCATTGCCAGGCCTGCATTTCCACTGGGGTCTGTAGTCCCAGCCTGCTCTGTGGTCTGATACCCCTGCTGCCATGGAGGTGAAGCTGTGGCCTGCTCCTGGCATTTCTCTGGTAGCTTGAGTTTTCACCTTTTACATCTGAAATGACTGAAGAGGCTTCAGCTACTTGCTGGCCCTTAGAAGTTGAAGCTTTGGACTGCTTTATCTTGTAACAGAGTCCGAGTCAGTCATCTCCAGCCTGGGGAGAGCACAAAAGCTGATTTCTGCTCCAGCTGTGTGCTCAGTACAGCTCAGAAGGCCTGGCAGGTGCTACTGTTATTTGACTGTTATTTTGTACTGTAAATGGCAGACAGACATGAATGTTAAAGCAGATCTGGGAACCCTGTTGATTCATTGATGCTTCATGCTCTTCAAAAACATGGCAGAATATTTTTGAGCTATTCATATTGAAAAACAGACCTTGAAGAATTTTGAACTCTCATTCTACCTGCAAGATTCTACAAGCTCTGAAATTCAGCTGCCTTACAAAAGGGCAGGCATGCTGCATCCAAAGACTGAAAAATCACAGATCAGGCCTGAAAACTGATTTAAACCAACAAAACCTACAACCTCTACACTGCCCTTGTAGGACTGCTCTTCTTCCCTGCATACATTCTGATTATTTGGCACACTCTTGGCTTGTGCTTTCAAGCTGTTCCTCACAGACCTGGGGGCTGCAAAACTTCTTAGAAGGAAAAACAAATCTACAATGAGTCATCCTGCTCATATTCATAGGTAACCCCTGCAACTTAAGAGCTGTGACTAAAACAAATACCAGCTATTGCAAGAACTACCACTAAACTCTGATTCATCACCTAAAATAGCAGAAGCCTCGGGGAAGTCTGAGAGACAGGTCTGAAGAGTAGGCAGAAAGGGAGGAGAAACAAATGGCAGGAGGCAGAGAAAGGAAGGGACCTATACTCAGTGCTGTGAGAAGGGTGAGGGAGAAGGTAATGCTCAAATCAGTACCTGTGGAAGGTGAGACAGGTAGCCTGCAAGCTATTCTTGCAGAAAAAAAAATGGCAAGTTTCATCTAAACGGTAGAACAGTCCTGCTTTCTCCCCACTCTGCCCATTCTGGTTTTTCATGGATGCCTTTTTTTCTTGAGAGGCTGTAGGGGGAACCTGGGTGACTCTGTATTTTTGCTGGCCAAAGCAGCAAGGCAAGAATGAAGGAAATGTGCACCTGCCATGACAGGTATTGTAGTGGTTTAATGCAGCTGGACTTTCCTAATCCTGCACTTTGAAATGTTCTCTCAGGAGTTGATAGCCCAACCAATGTGGCAACTGACCGAGTGACAGAGGACACAGCCACTGTCTCATGGAGTAAAGTTGAGGCTCCCATAGACAGGTACATGGTGAGATACACCTCAGCTGATGGAGACACCAATGAAATAGAGGTGGGGAGTGAAAATGACATCATCACCTTACTGGATCTGAAGCCAGGCATGGAATACATCATCCACATCTGGGCGGAGAAGGGACCCCAGCAGAGCAAGAAGGCAAGCACCAGAGCTGTGATAGGTAAGTTGTAGCAGCAGCAGTGCAGGGAGCTGAGTTTGAATTTCAAACTCCTTTATCAATCTGACATGTTTCCCTAAAGCTTCTTTTGCTTTGCACAGGATTTTAGTGAAGCAAAAAATTCACGTCCTTCTTGCTAAAGAGGCTGAACAGGTCTCCAGCTTGGCATGAAGACCGTGGTTTGAGTCCTGTTATGGACAGGTCTTATGGCACTGCACCAGTTACAGTCAGTACGGGCAACAATCCAACACAGCCAAAGCTAAAGCCTCATAGCTGGAATGTGTGATTCATGCCTTGCTTTTGAAATGCCATAAACCACCTCCAAGCTTGTGTTTTGGTGACTGATCATGGCATAAGATAAGAATCACATGGAGAATCCAGTCTCTGAACAGGACATTTGGTCACTGTTCTTGGTGGCTAGGATCTCCACTGGCAGGGTGCTTGCAACAGGGTCCACAGCTGGATTGGGAAGCTCCTCACACCACTGTTGTGCTCATATCTTGTAATCCAGCCAGCCATGGTCCAACATGGCTGTGTGTACAGGAGCAGTTTCTGCTGATGATTTACAAATGTCTTATCTATGTGCAATCTGTACTTCTGCAGCAGAAATTACCTAGAGGAATGTTTGAGATGCTCCACTCGGGATGTTAACCAACACATTTAAGCATATAAATTGGACTAGACACAACAGGAGCTGCCTCAGGGAATTTGTAGGACTGTCTGAAGTTCCCACCTGGAGGGGATTGATAAGGATCAACCAAATGCTTAATTATGAAGTTCAGTCAATTACCTACTTTCAAGTTGGTCCCGTTGCCTGAAGCCAGCCCATGTTCTCACTGATACAGGTGACTGGCTAGGGAGCTCCTGGGCCACCCAGGGAGTTAAGGTGTTAAAGGCAATGCACATGCATACAGGCACAGCTCATACCCAGCTGCAATGCAATTATAACTAAAGAACAAACTTGATTTTCATATCACACAAGAAAATCATTCAGTTGATTTTTCTTGCCACAGGTGAGCATCTTACAGTGCTAACTAGCTGAGCGTTATTCAAACACCCATTCCCAGTGTGCACAGCTCTAGGGTGACACAAATGAGCCTCAGCATCTTTCATTAAAATGAGAAATAACATATTTTCATTGCACAAAAGGAGTGAGATTAGTACACACAGGTGGAAAATCACAACTTTTACCATAGCTAATATGTGGTAAATCATAGTACAGCTAAGCTGATATATTAGCAGAATATGCCAGAATAAGAATGTTGTTCCAATAATTTGGGAAGCATCTGCAAGTCCTTCACTGCTCAGGCTGCTGAGATGTATTTAGAAGTTCAGTGGAAAAAAAAAAAACCCCAAAACCACAAAACCTCATGCTTTCTGTATAGGTCATGGGCTGTTGGGCTGTCCTTGAAGGGTCATGTTCCTGCGGGCTCTGCTGTGATAGTGACTCTTGAAGTCATGCAGAATGTTTGTCTGTGAAAAGGGCAAGAGAAGGATTGTGATAATGGGAGGAGATTGAAAGTGGTGGGGTTTTATTTCCTAGTGGGGAATGTGAACCTAGTTCTCACTAGTGTCGTTGCCTGGTTCTTCACCTTCAAACCTTCTCTTTAAGAAATTGCCAGTGTAGTGTCCAAATAGCAGCCAGGTAGCTGACAGAAGACATAGTCACAATCTCCTGGGATAGGGACTGGCCCCTGATGGGTACTTGGTGAGATACAACACAACTAACAGGGGAGGGACTTTTTATAACAGCAGTTAATGATAGACCAAGGGGTAATGGCTTTAAGCTGAAAGAGGGTCGGTTTAGATTAGATATTAGGAAGAAGTTCTTCACTGTGAGGGTGGTCAGACACTGGAACAGGTTGCCCAGAGAAGCTGTGGATGCCCCCTCCCTGGAAGTGCTCAAGGCCAGGTTGGATGAGGCTTTGAGCAACTTGGTCTAGTGGAAGGTGTCCCTGCTGCTGGCAGGGGGGGTTGGAACTGGATGATCTTTAAGGTCCCTTCCAACCCAAACCATTCTATGATTCTATGAACTAATGGGAACACAAAGAACATGGAGGTGGGGAAGGGCAAGAGCATCACTGCTCTGATGGGACTGAAGCCAAGCAAAAAGTACACCACCAGCCTCTGGACAGAGAGGGAAGCCCAGCAGATGTCAAAGCTGTGACAGGTAGGAGGTTTGCTTCAGTATGAAATAATCTTGTTCCAGGAGAGCTGCATTTCAGATGGACATTCTGAGCAGGCGGTTGGGTTTTTGGGTTAATTCCCAGAACAAGCCAGACAAGAGCTGGTGATCTTCAAAAAGCAAGAGGCAGTAGCACCATATTCTGCGTGGGCTCTGCCCATGCAGGGTCAGCTGTGCTTTTGTTGCCAACAAAGAGCCCTGCTGTTGCAGCTGTGAGGAGGAGACCTAGATCCCAGCTGAAATACCTCAGAATTGGGCACCTACCAGCTTTGTAGTTCAGACCCATCCTGGATAAGAAATAAAGATGAGAAGTGGAAGCAATTAGCAAGGCCCTTGAGGGGAAGGAGTAAGTGTAGCCTCACCGGGACAACCTGTGTTCTTCACTCCTAACTGTTCCTGCAGAAATCAGCAGCCCAGCTCACCCAGTGCTGGGGCAGAGGGCTGACTGGCCCTGACAAAGCTTGGCGCTGGTGTACAGGTGTGTACAGCAGTGTGTCAGGAATGGTAGGACTTGCAAGTAGTTAGCCACCTTGTTTTACCTACCTGGCACTGTATCCAACAGTGCCAAATGCTTTGGGGCCACAAATGGGACTCACTTAAGCGTCAGTTATTTACACCACATGATCAAGACATGGCTTATGGCTGAAGATAAAAGTTCTGTTAGATTTACCAGTTTGAGCTGGAGAAAAAAAAAACAACAACAACAGAAAAACAAACACAAAAAACCCACCCAAAACCTAACACAACCAAACAAGCAAGCTTTTGGATGCACAAACCCTTTTTAGGTCTTTGGGCACAGAATAATTTCCCAAAGCTCATCTGTTTTTCCAAGTATATTTGATAGTTTAATAAAACATACTACCTCTCCCTATAAAACTTGTATTGTCTGTGTCTTTAAACCATTGTGATTAGCACAGCACTATACTAAACCTTTGAATAATTATGACTTTTGCTTACAGAAATTGACAGCCCAACTGAGCTGTTGGCTGCCCAAGTGACAGAGGATGCAATTACTGTTTCCTGGAACAAAGTGCAGGCTTCAGTAGACAGATACAGAGTGAGCTACACCTCGGCTAATGGGGACACAGAGGAGAGAGAGGTGGAGGAAGACAAGAATGCCACCACCTTGGCAGGACTGAAGCCAGACACAGAGTATGTCATTTACATCTGGGCAGAAAAGGGAGAGCAGCAGAGCAAGAGGATCAGCACTGAGGCTGTGACAGGTAAAAGGGCAATAGATTTTATTAAGAGTAAAGGCTACAGCCTAGCTTTGCCTTAGCACTGAGTAAGTCCATCCCCTGACAGTTTCAAAGCAGAGGGAGATTCAGGCTTAACAGTTCAAATCTTCAGTGCATCTTGTGGTGAAACCTATTCAACATCATGACAGAGAGGTTGTTGTTGTAGGTACTATGAATAGGCTGTGTTGTTGTTACTAATAGGGATTAGGGAAAATGAAGCCTTTGCAGCAGTGTCTTATGTGTTTATATAGTCTTGTTTTATTTTAACTGGTCAATTCATTTATCTTTCATCATGGAATAGGGAAATGCTCAGTTGCTTTTTGCAGATGAAGAAATTGAAGTGCAGAGAGGTTAACAGCATGCACAATGCCTTTTCTTGCAATAAGATGATTAATCCTTCTTCCACAGTTGTGTTCTTACCATGACTTTCTTTCCCCTGTGTGGCCTGTTCTAGTGTGTGCCCAGTGTGAGGGTTCCTTGTTTATAACAACACTGTAAAGCTGAATGTCTGAATCAATTGCAAGCGGTTGCAAATGTTTACAAGACCCATGCTCTAGGTCAGGGACTTGCTGAAGGAAGATGAGTAAATGCATACCTGGGTCATCCTCTTAACAAGAGAGCTTTGGTTGTTCTCTCACTTTCTGGACAGATGACATCAGAGGCTTGTGATGGTGAGAAAACAAGAAGGTTACAGTATCTTGCTTTGCAAGGGCTCTCTCCTGTCCTGGTCAGCACTGGCTGTGCTGTTCCCTTGGAAAGCATCTGTAAGGATTAAAGACAGACTCCAGACAAATCACCTCAGACCTTGATACCTCCCAGCTTTGTGGGTCCAGTCAGTGTGTGATCAGAAATAGGACTTGAAAAAGGAAGAAACTGGCAAGGGCCTTGAGGGGAAGGAGTGTGACAGTGTCACAGTACAGCCTGACTGTGACAGCCTCTGTTCTTTGCTTTTAACTGTCTCTGCAGAAATCGACAGCCCAGCTCACCTGGTGACTGACCAAGTGACAGAGGACACAGCCACCATCTCCTGGGACAGGGTCCAGGCTGTCATAGATAGGTACACGGTGAACTACACCTCTGTTGATGGTGACACAGAGGAGATGGAAATGGGGAAGAACAGGACTACCATGACTCTGACAGGACTGAAGCCTGGCATTGAATATGTCATCTACCTCTGGGCAGAGAAGGGAGCCCAGCAGAGCAAGAGGACCAGCACAGAGGCAGTGACAGGTATTCCAGGAGAATCCTTGTTGTTCTGTGTGACACTGTTGTGGAGGTGATCTCAACTTCTGTCCTGTTTTCTTCTGGCCTGTTGTACAGCGTATACTAGGCAGCATTTTGTCTTGTCACCTATGATGTGGTGACATCCATGCCAGAGGCACCTTCAAGCTTTGGATGGAGACAATGCCTCCTGCCAAGTCTGGAGAACTTTTAGGAACTAACAACTGCTCTGTTAGTTCAGAAACTATCAGCTGGTGTGAGCTTCACAGCACTTTACTAAAGCACTGTCATCCTCACTCATTAGCTTTGTCTGCTGTTTCTGGTCTTCAGGTATGCTGAACTCTGCTGGTGTGGCTGCGCTCTGCCCCACAGTGTACACTGCTGCTGTTGAACCCTGCTTAAACTTAGGATGGTTCAACTGGTAGTACTGGTGTTTATCAATGAAGCAAGATTTGGAAGAAAACGTGCCTATTAGTAATGTTTTACAACACAAAAGGGTAGCAAATAGTTTGAGCCTGGAAAAAGTCAGTAATTCACTTTGTTTAGTCGAGGTTTTTGCTTACAGAAGCTGGCTGCTTATCTAGGCTGAAGACAGACTGATTGTCAGAGGGCACTGCTAGTGTTTCCTGGGAATGAGGGAGAGATGGGGTGGGACACACATCTGGCTGTCCTGATTAGTTTGAAGCCAGGCATGGTGGACATCAAAGGAAGCAAGCTGAGCACAACGGCAGGCACAAACACTCTCATGGGTGACCTGTGGAAATTTGGGTTGTGATTTTGCAGCTATGGAAGGAGAGATGTAGCTTCACAGGGTGAATTAGCTATGATTATGTTTCTCCTTGGGCCACCTCTTTTGCCAAGGCTGCCTTCCCTTGGTTGTACTGTAGAGGAGTGTTATGCCTCGCTGGCACCTCACAGCTCAAAAAGACAGATTTGTTGGGGAGGCTGATAAAGGGGAGCAGAGTTTTGGTACTGCCTCAGTATTTCACATCTTTTTCTTTGCCTTGGTGTACCCTGTGCTGACCAGGACTCCAGGACCATGCATGCTGCCAAATAGCTGGTCTGATGGATCTCTCTTGAGGCTGTGTCAGACTGAAATTCTTACAAACCTTAAATTTCAGTTGGACCTTCTTCTGCACAATCATTCTTCCCTGTATCTCTGCTTGATATTTTACTCCTGAGACCTCTGTCTGAAGATGACCATGCCTCATCCCTTACCTTGTCTTACTCCAGTTCTGCATTGTCACTAGCAAGCACGTGATTAGCCACAGAGACCCAGTAAAGCTACAGATGAGTTAGTCCAGGTCATCCTTTGCTTCCTAAGGGTGGAATCATGGGGCTTTAGAAAGCAAAAGTTCCAAGGGGACCATGTGTGTCTTCTAGTTACCCACACTTTCTACTCTGCACTTTATTTCTTAGAAATGGACAGCCCAAAGAATCTGGCAACTGACCAAGTGACAGAGGACTTGGCCACCATCTCCTGGAGTATCATCCAAACTCCGATAGACAGGTATATGGTGAGCTACACTTCTGCTGATGGGGACACCAAGGAAATAGAAGTGGGGAAGGACATGACCATTACCACCCTGACAGGACTGAAACCAGGCATGCAGTACACCATCCATCTCTGGGCAGAGCTGAGAAGCAAGCAGAGCAAGAGAGTGAGCGTTGACACACTGACAGGTAATTGTGGGCAGGAGGGAAGTGGAATGGGGTAGAAGGACCCTGCTCCCTTGTTGTTTTACATTTCATCATCTCTCTTCTCATTAGTGGGTAAAGAGGATCTACAGTGGGAAACTTATTCTTGAGATGCAAGTGTGTGAATATAGACTACCATAACCGAGACTGCTGTTATAGAAGAGAAGATGTAATGCAGGAGCAATGACAGCAGATGGCACCCAGCTTATTTCAATAGTCCTTAATCAAAAGCATGTGATGCTTCTTGTGCTGATACCAAATCTAACACTGACAGAGGTTTAACAACTGCAGTTAAACCATTTTAGAATTAAATATATATTTAATTTATTTATTTAATTAAATGAATTAAATATAAATATATATT